TGGGAACTGGTCCAACTGTGTATAATTTAATCTCCGTATAAATCCAGCTGTTCTGCATAGGGCAGCAGCTATTAATTCTCTTGGTAATTAATAGATCTTTTTTTTCAATTCATTGTTTCATCTAGAAAGGAATATCTACAGTAATTGTTTAATCTAGAAAGGAATATCTACAGGAATTGTTTTATCTAGAAAGGAATATCTACAGTAAATTGATATTGTTAAACAAATAAATGTTTCAAATGTAGAAAAAACGGTTTCATTGCTCAATTTAGACAAATTGCAAAAAAAAAATGCAAATTGCAAAAAAATGTAAAAATCATATATTAAAACTTACATATGCATTTAATAATATATATAATTTTTTATATTAATATAAGCAATGTTGATATGTTTTGAACCATTTTGTTTTACCTGCAGCTTTTATAATTTAACTTTATTCTATTTATTATCATTCTATTCTATCCATTTATTCTATTTATTATTATTGGTCTCAAATTGGCAAAATGTACCTCTGCATTTAACCCATCCCCTTGGGGAGCAGTGGGCTGCCATCGTGGGGCGCCCGGGGAGCAGCAAGCGTATTGCTCAGAGACCCAGAGAGGCAGTCTGTGGGAGTGGGGCTGAGACTCAGAACCTTAGGATTCCAAGCTCTATGCCCTAACAACTAGATTGCCACTCCATTTAAATCAGATATTCTTTTAGCAAATAGCATGTTTTAGAGCCTGTGTATCATTATTTTAGGTAACGATTTGATTCAATAACCAAATTAGTTGACAGTTATTCAAATAGTCTGCATGCCTAAATCAAGGGGACTTCTACCTCACATCTGGATCCATATATGGCGTTCATGCATTCAAACAGAAAAACAAATGCATACCGTCCTGGTCTCCAGAACCTGATACATCCCAAAGAGCAGCAGGAGAACCAGTCCACCCAGGAACACGTACATGAACATTCTGCAAAACAAAATCAATTCTTCAACTAATGAAAGAAAGCTGCATTAAAGAGCTACTTCTTTTTCTTCCAGAACAGTAAGCTGTAATTTGTTTTGTTTTTATTTTAGGGATTTAAAGTCGTAGGGAAGCCGCTGTTCCAACCGTTGCATTTCCGAAGTCTCCTGAGTGGTGCACGACTCTACACGAGTGAATAAAGTCAATGTGATTGGTCGATTATCAAGGGGGCAGGATTGTTGTGGCAGAAGGTTCGCAAGAAAGTTTGAGGGTGGCCATTTTCTCAGAAGCATCGTTTCTAACCGGTTACCAACTTAGTGCTAGTAGGTTCCCAATGGGAAATTCCATTGGGACCAAGTAGCACTAAATTGGTGACTTAGAAACGACGCTGTCAAGGAACGCTATGGACAGAGGAAACATGCAAGAGGAGGAGAGTTTAGTGTCGGAGGTCGTGGATGAGTCTCCCCCGTCATCCATTTTTTATTTGGAGGAGGAAAGCGGGGACGAAGATGTTTTGGAAGAGGACGCCAGGGCGGCAGAAGCTT